ACACACACACACACACACACACACACACACACACACACACCCCAGCCCCAGAAGCTCATTCTAGCCACTTTGGCAGGACTTCACAGGTCCTTCCCATTGGTTAGTCTGTGGCTGCTGTGTGTCCAGCCATCTCTCCCATGAGCTGGCTCACACTTGCAGCCTGGTGCTTGTGGAAGCATGATGATGCCCTCACCCTGCCCACCACACAGCACTCTCAGGAAAGGTCATTAAGTAAAGCATACCTGCCTCCCAAGCCAACGATAAGCTCCTCCTAAGCTGTAACCTCATGGCAGCAGAACCAGAGCTGCCTCTCTTAGCCTGCCCCTGGATGCTAGGACTTTCAGGTCTCTAAACACCACAGAGTTTGGGTTGGAAATGACATCTCTGTGGGCAGCACATTAAATGCCACCACACTATCTGTTCTGGTGAGCTGCCCAGGAGACCATGTGGTCAAGTAGCGCCTCCATGAGATTTGTGAAGTGAACAAGCAGAGGACAGCTCTGAGCTGTAAATCCTGGATGACAGGAATGCTGATAGCTACAATCTTCCCTACACACCACAGGGCCTGAGAGGGAAGTCAGTTTCCCCCACCCCCAGGGAAAGGCAGAAGCTGGAGAGACAGATGGTTCCAAAGATACTAAGCTTCCAAGTCCACTATGCCTCAATATCTTCAGTTCTCCAAGCTAAGGAGCCAATACCATGTCTGCATGGGGAAACTATCTGCTGAGGCTTCATTAACACAACAGACCTGGACGAAGACATGAGCAAAGCTGCCTACCTTCTAGGTGCTGGCAGCTGGCTGGCTGCTGAGATGATAGCTTAGCCAACATCTAAACTATGAACTCACGGGGAGCTACCAGATGCACTCTTACGTGAATCACTGAACAAAGCCAATACCCACTCACGTAGGGCCAACTAGATTTACATTCTGTGCAGAAGCTGACCCAAAAGAGGTCTGGGAGGTAAGCTCAGGCCAGGCAAGGCAGAGGGAGCAATGACCCACACCTCCTCATTACTCCCTTTCTCTCCTGCTCCTTTTCTCCTTCCTCCTCTCCTTTGTTTTGTTTTTCGAGACAGAGTTTCTCTGTGTAACAGTCCTGGCTGCCCTGGAACTCACTTTGTAGACCAGGCTGGCCTGGAACTCACAGAAATTCACCTGCTTCTGCCTCCTGAGTGTTGGGATTAAAGATGTGCGCCACCACCACACAACTTTCTTTTCTTTATGTCCTTTTCTTTAAGATAGGGTCTCGTTTATGCAGCCTTGGCTGGTCTAGAACTTACTATGTAGATCAGACTAGCTTTGAACTCTCAGTATCCACCTGCCTCTTCCTTGAGGGTGAAGAGATTAAAGGCGTATGCAAGCATGTCTGGCTTACTACCCTGTAAGTTGCTATCTTTCACCTAGGAAAACCTACACATACCTGCCCAGAAACACACCCAGTGAGGCCCAAAGTCAGCTCTGCCGGAACCCCTTTGAAGAGGGCTGCCTGGGCTTGGCAGAGCTGGCAAGCTGAGCCTGCTTGTCTCCAGTTTCTGGGGTAGCAGATTTTACTTAAGCTCCCCAGGACTCCAGATCTTGTAAGAATAGACCTCCCCTCTTCTCACTTTGCAGCACCCACTGACCACGGCTGTCCCCAGTGGGCCAGCCATACAGTTCCTTCTAGAGGCCTTTGAACTAGACCAAGCAGGAAGGCAGCCTCCCTGGGAAGCTGCAGCTGATGGTGATAAACCCTGTGAGCTGTCATCTCATCACAGGGTCAGGGAGCAGAAGAAACAGGCCCTGGTGAGAGCCGAGAAAGACAAGAGAGAGCCAGAAGGGGAGGCAGAGGGCACCTTGGGAGTCCGGGGTTCCCAGACGAACAGCAACTATATCACAGTCTCTCTACAGTACATAGGAACTTCAGGCAGGGCAGGTAGGCAGGGTCAAGTTCAGGCCTTTCTGGAATCTTAATTTCCTTGCAGGACCCAGCAACTCCTTAGGTTTCAAGTAAGCGTGCTAAGTTGAAGCAAGTTCAAGGCCAGTCTGAGCTACATAGTAAGTAGACCCAGTTTCAAAAGAGCAGAAGAGTGATAGGTGACCCCGAGATCTCTAGTCTAGCTTCTTCCAGGCTCCTTTCCCAGCTTGTGACATCAAGCTATCATTTCAAACTTAACCTGTCCTAATATCAGTTTATGCTTCAGGGAAACCCAAGGTCTAAACAAGTGCTACACATTACGTCACTTGGGTATACTACAAACACTACCTGAGACTCTGAAGAACAGTATCTCCACGAGTCAGTCTAGGCTACGAAGACTCCCCAGATGGCCCAGGCAGCCACAGAACCACAGGAAGACACCACTCCCAGCCCCTGACTCATGGGTGAGCGTCAGCAATCAATCCCTTCTTCTAGAGCCTAGAAGCTCAGAGCC